AAATACAGATTCTGGTTACTTGAAGTTTAAATTTGACAGAAGTGTTAAGCGAACAGTTTTGAAACTCTATCAACCTGTACAGACAGTATCAGTAACCAGATATTCCAGCTAATAAAGCAGCTTTATAGCTTAATATTTGCTACAAAAGCCTTCTCCAGAAATAGGTATCACAACATAGCTCTTATGTTACTGACAAAAGTGAAAGATAATGAAAATGTATATTGTGGAAAACCAAGCTTGATATTCTACAGTTGGTATGCTGTTATAAAACGGCTTACCATAAAATGATTATGAGTATCTTGAAAATAAATGGCTCTAACTTCCTCCAGCATGGAAATACATTTATTAGATGAATTGTCTGAACACTGTAGAGTTTTAGCACTTGGATTTTGCCAAATAAGAATCTGATCTTTCAAAGTAATCATATTTCATGTTGAACTGGATATTTGTACTTTATAAATATTTTCTGAGACTGAAGAATCAGTCTTCTAGACCTGTGAGACTGAAACAGAGCCTTTAGGATCAGCCATTTGAAGTCCTGATTTTGTGCATGTATAGCTGGTGTTGCATTCATGCCAGGTAGAATTTACACAAGTATCACTGACTTGTGATGTGGTGGTAAATAAGAATGCTTGTCAACAAAACTGCAAAGAAAATCAGTGCAGTATGGGGGCAAAGATGAAGTTGGAAGTTCACAATGCTCTATAGCAAGAGACAGTATATTGGGTATTCATTCACTTTTATGAACCACACACATTTTTCTTACGTCATAAAGCAGTAAATCAAAATAATTAAAGCTGCTCAAAAAAATAAAAAAATAAAAAAAATCCAGAGACTACCCTGGTGTGTGTAAATCTGGCAGTGCTGGGATTTTTAAGTAAATCAAAACAGAAACATTTTTCTCTTCATAAACCCTCTCGGCATGTGTGAGAGAGCACAAGCGACAATTCAGATTCAGATGATGGAGATAAAAAGATAACATCTGTGAAAAGGACTCTATTACAAAACAGATTTCTTCTGGATTTTGTCTGCTCCTGAAAAGTTTTTCAGATTGTCTTGATTTTTTATTTTTTTTCTTTTCCAGAGTAAAATTAATGGCAACTATAATTCAGGTTTTGTTTGGAGCCATATAAAGTCTTGGTCTTCATTGTTTCACTGACATTGTAAGTATATTTACAGACACTTGGGATACAGATTAGTTTAAAAAATGAAGGAACATCCTTGTTTTAACTAACTCCTCTGCTTCTGACTGTTCTCATACATGTATACCATGTGGCTTAACTGGGAGTCAGAACAAAAATAACTGTTTATTGAAGTACCTCTATTGCCTGCGGGCTTTTTAATAGGATGCCACTTCTGCTTAAATGCTTTCAGGAAGCCAGCCATGCCCACTTCTGATTCTTGTCTGTATCAAGTTCATACTGCTCGTGTCACACATTGAATATACTGCATTATATGGCACACTAGATCTGCACATCTGCATAATTCACAACTTAAACTGTTGACCTCATTCACTAGAATATTCTGAAGGATGATCATTACCAAGGACTGAATAGTTTTGTTCAGGATGTTTCTTTGAAACATAATTTTTTTCATGTTGGACAAACATATCAGGCCAAATTCTGATATATTCCTCTTCAACTTAATATTTTCTCTTCTACTGTACTTGCTGTGCTGTAAGGTATTCCCAGTCAAGATGATGGCATCATTTGATTTAGAATGAGCAACAGTGCACAGGAAGCACAAGAACAACAAGGACAGAAGACAAAAGTAAAGGGAAAATACTTTGGTTCATTTGTACCTCAGCTTTTAAGTATCCTAAGATTATATGAGGTAAATTGCCCAACGCGGGCTATAAAGAAATTTCAAAATGCATACAGATTTTAAGGCATTATAAAGGCATTCTTGGACAGCTCCCTGGAGCTCAATGCAATTATGGTGGCTTTCTATTAATTCTGTGCAAGTGTTGTAAAATAATATCTTGGGGCAAAGTGTACTCTTACTTGCTATGCATTTCTGCTTATATATCAGCTCTTAGGGACTACTCTGAAAAACTTAGTACAGCAGTTTCTTCTAGTTTGCACATTAACTGTTCTATAAGAATGATTTTCTATTTCACTTTCTATTTCACTTACTTTTATTTTAACCTTTAAGACAGACAGTTCCCTCAACACACATGAGTATGAGGCTGTGCCATTATACCTCACATACCTCCATCACTATAAAAAAGTCCTACTGAAATCTGATGGAAAGTACTAAAACATTTTTCCTTACCACTATTTTCTACAGTATGACAGATCCCTCCATTCACCACCAAATGAATATACAGAACACGACGATTCGTTATCCCTTGGAACAACATGAGTGTTTTCACAGTCTTTCTCTTAGTACACCAACTGATGGGAATTTGAGGTACAGGGATTTTATTACTGGAAAAGTAACTGGAGAATCCTTAAAGAGAAGTAGGTGTAAAGAGCAGTGCTTGGAAAATTCATCATAGCATTTTGGTAGAGAAGAAAGACTGGAGAAATAGAGGGAAGGTGGCTGATTACTCTTGGAGCTGTTCAAAGAGGTGAACAGAGGAAATGGAGAATAAGCACAGATGTGGGTAAAACTAAAAAGAAAACAGTCATTTTGCTAGACCGGTGCCATGATCAAAGTGTATCTTGAGGCCTTTGAATACCTGAAAGGCTTTTCTTTATATTCTTGGTTGCAAGAAAAAGGCTTTGCAGTACAATTCAGAGGCCTAACAACCCTTTGCCTTTCAATAACTCTTTGACCTCTTTTACCCATAAATCAGTTTGTTGCTTCACTGTTCCATTTATTTGATATTAATCTACACTGGCTTTACAATGAGCTCGCTGGTATATTCACTTTTTTTTTCTTTCCAGACTGTAACTTGGTTTATGATATATTACAATATTTTAAAATGTCATGAAAGCATCTGAAAATTTCATTAAAGTCTTTCATGGAATCATAAACAACGCTCATAAAAAGTGTCAGTAAACCCTTCTAAAAAATAAAATAAAAATAGTTCACAAGAAAGATATGAATCCTGAAGGAACCATTCAATGTGTTTTTGAGCTCATGTTCCTGATCATCTATGGACTTTTGTCCACGGATGGTAGTCCACTAGTTTTTCAGGTTGTTCAGAAAATCTTCTTGCCTTCAACTAACACTTCTGAATGAGGTTCCTTCACCTTGTCTCAGAAGGACTACGCAAAACCAAGAAAGTACTCAACACACACATGTTATTTATCTATCTCCTTAGATTTTTGTAAATATAGTCCTTTATCTTCACATCCATCTCCATCCATCCAGTTCAGGATATCATTATATAGCTATCAAGTATCCATTTAAGACAAAGAAATGGATAGTGACCCAGCATTAGTTTAAGAATGACACTATATCTCCACAGAAATTAACAAATGTACCATTTCTTATGCCAAAGAAGAAGATGGAGTTTCTATTTTTCCTTTTGGACCTTGCTAAACTGTATTGCTGACCTTTTCATTGTTACTGTGTAGGTTTTGTTGCACTGCGGAGAAATACTTTTCTCTACTTATTAATACTGGACAAGGCATAGGAGTGGAATCCTGTTGGTCAAAAATTTGAAAACCTCATTTGTACATCTCCCTTAGAGACCAGAATTTTGTCAAGCCTTAAGAGAAGAAGAGAGTGGGTGACAATAAGTGAAAGGATGAGCATTCAGCACACACCTCCATGGCAAGAACTCTGGCCAGTGCTTTAACAAGTTTGACTACCCATCAGTAGAATTCTGTGTGTCTTATCTCATTTCCTGCAATTTTCAATTACTTAGCAATGCTTTCTCCATTGTCAAGAGGGCTCTTGATTGATTTCTGAGTCCTACATGGGCACACAAAGCTTTAGGAATATGACTATACCTACATGGATGTTCTGCCTCTATGCTTTTCCCAAGTCTGCAGAAACTTTTTTTTTTTTGTAGAACAGACAGATTATGATAATGATAGATATAGATATATAGATAGATAGATATAGATAGATATAGATAGATAGATAGCAGTGGTGACCCTACCTTTCAACAACATATGTAAGGAAATACAGTCAACATTTGAAAAAGGAAGCTGTGTAAAGCAGAATAACAAAAATGCAAGGAACTGCTATCATAGAAACAGTCTTTCTGGACATAACAACAAAAAGTTAGAAAGAACTTTCTAATGTAGAAGAGTCTTTTGCAAGTCTGTCTTTCCATTTTTCTATAGGCATGAGTTAAACAGGATAAAAGATTCTTCCCTTTTATGTCATTTCTTCAAGATTGCATAGCTGTGCAGCCAGATTCATTTTGGGAAAGAGGTGGGGTTTTTTCCAGGATTTGTTCCTAAATTCTCTCCAAATTTTATGCAGGAATAGATTACCCTGTCTGAGACTATCCGCTACAAGCATTTACAGGTAGTAATCCATTATCTGGATCTCATATCAAATAGAAAGCACAATTGACTTCTTCTTGGCTACATATTCAAATCAATGTACGTGTCCTAGAAACCAAGGAAATCAATGGAAAGATTTCCACAAACATCTCTGGGCATAATTCCTGTTGGATAAATCTGGAACAGGTGACAATCTTGGATACTTGTATTGGATTTAGTAGGATCTTTTGTAAGCTTGTGAAGTGATTTACACTCTAACCTGCATCAAATAAATCAGCACTCATTAAATCCATGAGAATTTATACTCTCTAAGTGAAATTCGAGCTCATGAAGTTAATTGAGTAGCAGCAATTCTGCTGGATTTAGATCCAAAAACAGGTGATTAAAACAGTGGAAAAGAAAACAACAGTCTTTTTTGTAGAGGTTCTTTTTTTTTTTTTTTTTTTTTTTTTGAGGAAGTGGAATGATATATACTGAAATTAGGACTGAAGATAGGGCTGGAATGAGATTTTTTTGTGTGTGTGGTGTTATGTAAGGGAGTAGAACAAATGGAAAAAGGAAGTTGTTTTACTTCCTATTTTTTGTACTCACTCATCGACTCTGTCAATTTGGCCATCTCTGTTTCTTTTTTGGACTTCTCCTGGAGGAACAGACAAAATAAAAAACATATATGTATATTTATATTAAATACACTTGAGTGTAATTTTATTTAAATTTACTTCTAAATAGCCAGCACCACTGGAGGCTTCTTCCTTGTAGTCTGTGGATTGTGCCAGCTTTGAAGAACGACACTTGCATTTCTCTATGAGTGTATGTGTGTGTATTTAGTTGGAGTAAAGGAAATTATTCTATCAAACTGATAATGGAGTAGGAAATCCTCCCATTTTATACTCTACATTGTAATTCACAAGCGTGTTAGGACTTCCTGACAAAAGCTGTGAAAAAGGCCATCCCATTAGACAGACATACTGAAAAAACAAAGTTCATTTAGAGATAAATGAATTTCAGATGGAAGCTGGAGTGAATGGCACATAGCATTGAGTTTGTCTCTAAAATGAATTGATTGAAATACTGTTTATTTCTTTGGTGTGTGAGGGACTCTCACTCAAACCTGTTTTTCACTTGTTTATGGAATAAAATTTTTAGTCTAGTTTGTTTCCCTGTTTCATACAGTTGTAGCTGCTGAATCTATACCTATTTTGGCAGATGGTTTGGTCAAACGAGCCCTTGGTGAAGTTCCCCTTCACAGAGACTAAATCTTCAAAGCATGCTTTATGGAAGATGCGCCTAATCTGCTGATTTCAGAGGCAGAATTTGGGTGGAATTAAAATCATCAATACTGCACAGCCCTTTACACTCTAAATTATCTGTTTTTGAGAAGTGGTGGCTGCTCTGGTCCTTGCAATCTCAGAAACAATATAAGTATCTTAAGTATCTCAATTCCAGCCCTGTGGTTTAGCAGAGCTAGCAGTTACCCATCCAATAACTCACTGCTGTATTCGGAATGAAAAAGTTCTAGATATTTACTAACTTTAACCGCAGATGGCAAGTCAAGCTGAAGGGTAAAGGGCCTCTTATCAGCTTCTATTAATAATGGCTGTAGGAGCTGGACCTATGCCTGTGCTGAGGACAGGAGACAGGACCTTGCAGGCTATGAGTGTGCAAAGGTTAATTTGATCCAAGCAGCATATTCTCCTAAGAATGTAAACAGAGGGGTAAATTGTCTCCAAGATATGTCGCTAATGGGCATTAGCCCCAAACTGTTGCCACAAGCTGCCTATCTCAGCTGTGGGTCAAGGTACTGTTTTCTGTGTTGGGTGGCCTGCAGTAGCTGCTGAGAATAGGATTCAGTGAGCAGCATCTCTCTGTGGCTCAATTTGTACCAACAAACTGCTCTGGGGCAAGTAATGAGTTCAGAATTGTGAGAGAATGGTCCCAATCAGATGTTGACAATGTAGACACAGTCTTATGAAGGTTTTTCACTATGAAGTGAGCAGATCTCACTGCAGAAATTTCACTTGTTCATATCTGTTTAATCCCATCACTGACTTTTATTTGGTATAAAAATCTAAAGGAAATTTTCTATATGAAACAAAATACTACTTGTGCTAGCAAAATCTTAAATTTCATGGCAATAGGAAACATTGGAACTCAGGACATAAGCAAATTATGTTTCACAATTGTTTGCAAAAAGGTTTAAGATTATATCCCAAATCAGTGGTGAGTTCAGTGCCATAAGCCATGCTGATAATGTGATAATGTAGTATTCAGCATCAGATTGATTCATTACTGTGAAAGAAAAAAGAAAGGATAAAAAGGAATTGGCATTAGAAAACGCACAATTGCCAGTTTAAAAAAAAAAAAAAAGTCAGTGGTAATGCATAGCAATTTCTTGCATGGCATTAATCATCAAAGCAAAGTTCTGCACTGTGAAAATCATCAGGAATTTGTGTCCATGTTGCTTTCTAATGTGACCTTAAAACACCTCTGTTGCTAGAGGATTAATCAGGAATGAGCAGTTGGGGAAGACCAGTGTTGAGTCCTCAAGATGGGAGGTTGGATTTATTAGACTAAAAACAAGTTGTGATTTTAAATACTAATACTTTGCTCGTGTTATTACACGTTTTACTAATGATGAGGTATATCATAAGAACATAGGACACTATAATGTCATTTCCTTTTTAAATGACAGTATTTAATACATTTGAAAAACATGTTTTTCAACTTGGAGGTCTGTTAATGGTCAAATTTTTTTTTAAAGAACCTGGTACAGTCAAGAAGTAAAGAATGCACTTTTTCCTCCAGAAATGGTTGGAGACAAATGACCGGTAAGCACATGAAGCAGAAACAGTTGTTTGTAAACAGGCTGCAGATCATCACTACAGCTATTATGGTATAATATGTACAAAATGAAGCTGAGGTTTTCAGGCTTATGAAACTGTTACCTGTGTAAATTTTAATGTGAGAGAGACAACATGAGATGGCTGACAAGATTCAGCTAATTTCTTCATCTGAAGATATAGAAAGAGTTTGACTTTCTTTCTCAGAGAGAAATGACCAGAACTACTGAAGTTGTGATCTTTCTTCTTCAGAAGATGAAGGGAGTCTTGCAAGTATATGATTTCTCAATAGGACAGGTTTAAAAAGTCATACAATTTTCCAGATATTTTCTTGAAACGGTTTTACTGCTGTCATTGAAGTATAGAATCTGTAAGAAATAGTTTTCTCAGGTTTAGAATGTCTTCCCTTGCTCTAATAAATGCTAGTGTATGCACACATACACACGACAGGGTCCTTCTGGAAATTCTAAGTTATCTTTCCCCCTCATTTCTTTTATCACAATGGAAAATTTTAAGAACTCTAATAAATTTTGTTTTTCATGGCAAGTAGGGAATTCTATCTTCTCCGACAAAATGAGTTCTGACTGACTAGGAAGAGGGAAAAAAACACTAAGCCATATTTTTGGTTCTAAATTCAACAAATACAGACTTATTTTGTAAGAGCCTGGTGTGTGTACAGACGTGCTACCCTTGCATACTCGTGTATGTAAGACATGTAAGACTACCTTCTTTTTGGCACGTAAAATGCAAGAAATCTTGGTCATAATATTCTAAATTATGTACATGTGAAGTCATGCATGAAATGTAAATTGGCATGTGTATCATGGCAATTTCAACAAATAAGAATGGGTATTAAAAACTCTACTTTTTGCAGTGGTGATGAGTTTATTCATTCATTCAGCTGACCATTCAGCAAACATTTCCTTTCCAAGAGGGCTGCTTTTCTTCCTTTCTTCCTATCTTTTTAAAAAAAAATTATTTGACACATTTGAAATATAAACATTAGTGTCATTTCATCTAGTTTTTTCTCATCATACAGTCTGCTTATTCCAGCTGAGAAAAATTAATGAGATCATTATCTTTGCTTTGTTTGTTTACTGCACAGCTGAAAATGCTGCTTCTTTTGCCAGATCACAAATGCAGAGCTGCACCAGCATGCTAGGAAGCTAACAAAGTAATCCAAGACTTTGGCTAAAATTTCTAATAATATTTCATGAGTCCTATAATGGCCAAACTACAGATCAGAACTGAAATATATTGCACCCATTGCACATGTTTTTTTTTGTGAAGCTTTGGTACATTCAGAAGTAATTCAGTGACAAATCTCTAGTAATTTCATTGATATATCCTTTAAGGTAACAGCTACTCAATCATTACATGCAAATTCAGTGAACAAGAAGCAAGAAGAATGTTTTCTGAAATTTAGCTTAGAGCAATCTATCTTGGGATATCTAATTACTTTTAAAACTGCATGAAAATAGTGTTATGTTTGAAACACTATTAAATGAAAGTAATAGATTTTCATTTTATACTTGTGACATCCTAAAATGCTTTGCAATAATGAATTGGATACTGGTTGTTAGGCAATGGTGTGTAGGCAAATGCAGTTCTCATTATGTGTTATTCATTTTTGAAATAGCCTGCACTCAGCTCTTGAAAGCATAGCTTATTTTAGGTGCAGAGGGATTGCTGGAAGGAGACTGAGATCTTGTTTTTGAAAAATACCTTAGGAGCTTTAATTTCTATCTACACACATATCAACCAAAGGAAAGCAATAGCTTAATAGCTCACCTTTAGGACCTCTATGAATGATAAAAGCTGTGTTACTTCATTCTTCCGTTACTAAGGTGCAAGACTTTAGTAAGAACCAGTCTAGATGTATTGAGTTACTTTTCAGGTCTGCCCACCCCAAAACTAAATAATGGTGTGTAACTTCTTTATATTTGTTATTCCATCTTGCCTTTCCTAGCTGAGATGGTTGGTCTCATCTGCTTGGTTTGCTTTCTCTTACAGAATTATTTCTCGAGATAGGGACTGTTATGTCTATATTTGTGAAAGGCATGGCATGGTATGTTTTCAGACAAAGTGACATCATCTTCAGCTTCAAAGCTGAGAGTGTGAGCAAGTAATCTATATTTTCTTGCAGTAACCCCAGCATTTGAATAGCTAAGAATATGTTTTAGAGGAATATATTGTGCTTGGCAAAAAAGAAAAAAAGAAAAAAAAAAAAAAGAAAAAAAGATTTCAATTTATATCAGTTGGAATGAACTTAAAATACACTATTTGAATTAGATAAAGATAACTGAGTTCACAGAGGGTGCACCTTAGCAGGATTCACTAGGCTTACTGAGCAGTAGGGGTGAGTTTGTCTCATTACTGTGTTCAAATGTCACAGAGCCCACTTAGTAGCTTTGATACAAGAAGCTTGACAAAGAAGAAATTGGCATTAACAGTAGGAGGAACTCAATTTATTTCTCTGGACTCTAGAATATAGGTTTTACATTCCCCATAGCTTTTAGTTAATTTATTTTTCACCCTTGGACTGTAAAATATACGTGGGAAAATATCTGTTTTATTTACTTGTTTGCTTTCCTAGGCAGAACAGTTCTAAAGAAGCTTGTCAGTTCTCTTTAGACTCAACATACAGAGCTCACAGAGTACTGTATTAAGTCCACTGTGAATGCATTCTCTACATCCACTAGAACACAAGTTCAAATAGAAGATAAAGGAAAAAAAAATAATTGGAGAGATACTTATTTACGTTTTCAGGTGATATATTACTCTTATTTATGAAACAGAA